GGAGCCCGATGCGGGACTCGATCCAGGGACTCCAGGATCATGACCTGAGCCGAAGGCAGTCGCTTAACCAACTGAGCCACCCAGGCGCCCCGAACTGATTTTTTTTTTTAACCTTGTCCCTATAAACCCCTTTACCCACTTCCCCATCTTAAGGGACCAGCTCTTCCCACAGTCATTGTGAATCATAGTGATTTTTTTCCTAGTGGTGGTGTTTTATTTTTATTTTTTTAAAGATTTTATTTGTAAGTAATCTCTACACCAAGGCAGGGCTCGAACCCCTAACCTGGAGATGAAGAGTCGCCTGCTCTACCGACTGAGCCAGCCAGGCACCCGTAGTAGTGGTGTTTTAAATTGCTCTTCCTGTTGCGATAGTGTGGATCTGAAGTTCATTGATTAGCCAGCCTTCTTCTTCCAGGGTGCTGTTACCTTGATATCCTCTTAAGGTTTTTTAGTTTGTTGGTTTTTTGGTTTTTGTTTTTTTTTTTTTTAATTTCACTGACCTGCTCAGGCATCTCCTTCCTGTTTATAATCATGGTTATGATCAAAAGCAGAGGGATACAGAAACCAGTAAATGATGGTAGTCTCTGTGTACCGATCAGTGACTCAAAGTCAGGAATCTTTCCCCTTCAGTATATCAGAAATGACAGCAGTAACGCGAAACTTAAATGAGAATGTTTTAGTTAAGGAAGCTCTTGACCTCTTTTCATATGTTGAGGTGTGAAAGGGGAGGAAGAGACTATTCCAGATTTCAATAAGTTTAAAATCCAGAGTACGGTTGGGCTGAGTGCCTTTGTTTTGTTTTGTTTTGTTTTGTTTTGTTTTTATAAATTTTCTTATTCTTTTTTTTTAACATATTAGAATTGTGATTTGGTTTTTATACATGATTATATTCACTTACTTACTTTTTTGTTTATTCTCAAAGACCTTAACTGAGACAGGCTGTGAGAAATATAATGAGGTACCGCACTGAGCATGCTGGGAATGCTGAGCATAAGGGGTGAAGTCTGCAGCAGTCCGGCTGTTGGCCCTCCCCGGACTCGACAGGCTTCTGCCCCACTTCTGGCACACGTGGCTTCCCTGTTCATCACTCTGGCTCCTTTCTTGCCTTTGACAGGGTTTAACGGGTGCCCCCCCGACCCGCAGTGTGTGCTTCCTCAGGGAGTACTCCTTCTAGCCCTCAATACGTGTCACACACCCCAGAGATGACTAAATGTGTCCATGCCCTCCAGGGGCTCAGAATCTAACGAACTCAAGTCCAAAATCCCCTGCCAGAACAGCTGTGTCTGAGCCCCTCATGTGTTCTCCAGCCCAGCCCGTGCCAGAGCTGAGGCCCGCCGGGGGCCGCTGCCCATGCTCGCGGATGTGCTGTGGAGTGAGTGTGAGAACGTAACTGCTGGTTAGCCGTGTGATTAATTGCCTGCCAGTTGCCCATGTTGTGAGTTCCTCTTAGTATGCATGGGTTGGTTCAGCTGAACTCTTAGTAGCTTATTTGAGTTTTCATTTCTACAAAGTGAGCTTTTTTTTTTTTTGACCTAACTTTCAGAAAATCCACCCTCACTTTTGTGTAAGGAAAACCGTTCCTTTCAGCAAAGCCACGGGAAGCATGTCCATTTGGGTGGTAGCTGAAAGACCTCACTTCCAGTGCCCTAAGCTGGGGGGTGGTTTTCAGTGCGTGTCCTTCTCTCCGCGCGGGCCGAGTTCCTCAGATGAAAGTCCCCTGGGTCTGCTCAGCCCTGGGCTCTCGCTGTGCTTCCGCTGTGCCGGCAGTGGGGCGGCCTTGGACACCTGGCAGTCAGCAGCTCGCCCTGAAGAACACAACCATAGCTAGACGAGGAGGCTGGGGGAGGGACTCAGCAGTGCGGAAGAGGTTCTCTGCTCTGAGTGACGCAGAGAGGGCAGGAGGTGGCAGCGGCTGTGAGTGCCCTTGCTGAGCAGAGCCGCGCCAGGAGAGACTGTCCCACTGCCCCCTGCAGTCTGGGCCCCACCTCTGGCTTGCAGTCACTGACTGCCTAAACGTGTGGTCTCCCTCTCACAATCAGTAAGTAAACCGGGAGAGCGTCTCTTTAAGAAGAGTTTCTTGAAAACGTTTCAGCTCTTATAAATTAATAAAAGTCCTTTCTGTGTAGAATGATGACGGAAGGGCACAGTACCCCTCAGGAGTTGGCCCACAAGAGCAGTCGTCACAAGAAAGCTACGGTCATAAACGGGATAGAGTATGATAGACCTCAAGCAGCGCCTTGGTTAGCTGGGCCCCGAGGAGACAGAAATCACCAGTGGGCAAGGATGACATTGCAGAACCCCTTGCCCCAAGAACAGTCTTCAGAGAAAGCATCTGACTTCAAGGAGAGTCCTGTCGCCTTGGCCAAACCCGTGACCTCCCTGAGCCCCGCAGGGCCCTCCACTCTAGAGTGATAGGGTTAATGCCATGCCACCTCACAGGGAGGTCTCACCCCGCCAGGCAGCAGCTGACTGGGGACAGCCTATGAGCCTTGGACCATTTGTATATAATAAGCTAAGGCCATTTAAAATAAGAACATTAAGTATTAGCGGTTTTTGCTTTCAGAGAACGTAGTAACTAGAAATTGCTAGGTGGTCTCTGGGAGGATAAAGAGACTTATTATTGCAAGGTTAAGGTAGAAGTGGGCTCTAGGAAGTTTTAAGCTCTCTGTGGGTGCCAATAGGGTTTTATTTTTGTAAGAGTAAGCTGCTGGTTCCATCTGCTTTAAAATACTTGTTTCAGACAAAACAGACATTTTTAGCTATGTGATACAGACGGAGGAGACTTTGGGTAGGGGGCATGTAGGCCTTCTCCTTGGGGTCCCTCAGCCTGCCTTGGAATGGAGAAACAGGACTTCCCTCCACCCTTGGGCTGTCCGCGTGTGTGGATCTGCCCTCAGCCAGCCACATAGAGCAGTTGGGTGCCTGCACTGACCTTTAGGAGTGACAGTTAAGCTCACTGCCACTGTTATTTGTCCAAAGTCAGTGAGGGAAATTATATTTCCAGGAGGGCTGCTGAGGCGAAGTGTAGTCTAGCCACTCTCGCCACATTCTCACAAACACCCTGGATCACACTAGAGCGGCTGATCGCCAGCCCCCAGGCCTGTGTCACAGCAGCCTCTGAAGGATTTTGTCACTGCATGGCATGTGCCATCCACTCACTGGGAAGTGCTCTTAGAGTCGGTCCCACAGCGCTTGACGTGTGAGCCCCGGGAGCAAGACTTTGATGGACGTAGCTCACTAAAGCCCTGCACCGCCTCCGTAAGTCCTCCTTGAGTGCTGGCCAGTCCTGGTTCTAGATCCTGGCTCCCGGGGTGACCACTGGGCTGGTTTATGTCTGAGATACACCACAAATTTTAAAACAGAGTAGAGTGCTACTCTGCAATACAGAGGGGACCGCCAGACACTGATGTTTCATTCCCAGCCTGGTTTCCAGGAATCCTTACAAAGTCCTAATTGTTGGGAAGGGCAAGTGAGACGGGGGGGATGGGGGTGATGCAGAGGTGAGGGTCAGAGAGAGAAAGAGAAGCAGGGATTTGGGCATGTCTTCTTTGAAATGAAGGCAAGCCGAAACCGTGTGTGTGAAATGTATATAGCGTCTTCAAAGCTGTGCTTTAGCTGGTACTTCAGTTGATCATAACTTCAGAAGAAAGCCTCAAACATAAGCCCATTTAGAGACTCCGAGTTTATAAATGGTGCAGTTCTAGCTGTTCGGAGCTGGGTGGATGCAGGCAACACGCATGCCCGGAGAGCAGAGGAGATGACGGCGGCGGCAGCGGGTTCCCCTGCTGTGGCCCCTGCTGGCCGGGGGGGGGGCCGCCTGGGACGGGGTGGAGAGGGCGTCACTAGCCATCGCAAAACTGGCGGGCTCATCGCACTACCGAAGTTTGTAAAACACGCTGCCATCCAGATCCCCAAGAAATACACAACTGACGTTTGCCGTGTATTCTCTCAGGAAATAAAAAATTTCGTCCAGGGCGTTTCTGAGAAGATCAAGAAGACCAGAGATAAATACGGCATCAACGACAACGGCACAACAGAGGTAGCGCCCGGCTTCCCCGCGGGCTCGGGTGCCCCCGACCGGCTCGGGTCCCACAGCCTGACCCGCACACTCGGTTTCTGTCCCTGCAGCCGCGTGTGTTGTACCAGTTGGACCGGATCACCCCCACCCAAATCGAAAAGTTCCTGGAGACCTGTAGGGACAAGTACATGAGGTACGGATGCGGATTTTCCCGGACTGCCAGGCAGGCGTGTGGGGTTCCCGTCCTTCCCGTTTCCCCACTGGAGCGAGCTCCTGCACCAGCTCCGCTTATCCACTGCCGGCGTTCGAGCAGGTGCTGTCACCTCTTCTCTTAGGCGCTCCGGTGGGGAGGCAGGCTGGATGTTCCAAGATGTGGAAATAATTGCGAAGACGTTTCTGAGTGTCTTCCCCCGCCCCGTGGAGTAGCTCCCAGCATGCTTGGCGGGTGCCGGCCGCACTGTCCGCCGTCAGCACCGTTTGTTAGCAGAGCTCTTGGCGCTTCTCCAGGCAGTCGATGTGTGGGCTCAGTCACTGCACGCGGACCACAAGTAGCCACACAGTGTTCACTTCCATCATCGGGCCCCTGTGACTGCTGCACCCCCACCCCACCCCCGTCTGCACCTCTGGCTGATCCGTGCCGGGTTCTTCCTGTCACAAGCACAGCCTGGCTCATAGCATATTCCCTCCTGACCCTGGCGACACCTGCATTTTTTTTCTGTTGAAAGGAGATAACCAGCAGCCTCTTCCCAACAGTTTTCTGGACTATTCTTCCATACCCTTACTTTCTAGGGCGCAGATGGAGCCAGGATCTGCGGTGGGCGCACTGTGTGCCCAGAGCATTGGGGAGCCAGGCACCCAGATGACCCTGAAGACTTTCCACTTTGCGGGCGTGGCCTCCATGAACATCACCCTGGGTGTGCCCCGGATCAAAGAGATCATCAATGCTTCCAAGGCCATCAGGTGCCTGCCCCCATCTCCCATCTGTTCTCATGCTGCCTGTCGTGTTACTCTCTTACCACGTGTGGTTCTGTGCTGGGCAGTATTGTCAACTCAGGCGGCATGCTTGTCTTCTGCAGATCCGGGTTTTTAAAAAACCCACTTGAGAAAAAATAAGTGGAAACTGGGTACAGTCACAAGTGAGGCAGTGGTTCTTTGTGGCCACAAGTTACGTTAAAGAGAGAAACATGAAGAATGACTGGAAAGACTGTATCCATGTGTCTGTGTAGATTTAAACTTCAGATGTTGTTATTCCCAACTGAAGCCTGACTGGTGAGTCTGTCACTTGAGCTGTGGCCACAGTCTGTGACTCCCTAGTGGTTTCGTGGTAGGGTTTGTAGTTCATCTGAGACCAGAAAAGATAGAAATGCATGACAGTGCGTTCTGTGACCTCATCATGATTCACCTGTGATCTGAATCCACCAAAGTCATGACAAATAGCATCCAGGGAGGGAACACAGCGCTTGGTTCTAGAGCAGCAGCGGTGGGCATCCAGGGTGGCAGGAGCTCTGCTGCCACCTCCAGCTGGCCCGGTCTCTCCCAGGAGTGCGTGGTCAGGGGACGCCAGCCAGGACAGGGAGGGCAGAAGCCGGTAGCAAGTGATTGGCTGGTGTCCTGGCGAAGGGGTGATGCGGGCGGGGCGGCAGGGTGGAGGACGCTCTCCTACACAAGCATGGAGGGTCAGTACAGAATCGAAACAACTATACCTGCCGGGACCAGAGAGGAAGAGATAGGCCCACTTGGTCAGGAAGAACGTTCCAAAAATCGTCTCATTCACTGATGGTTGCCGCGTGAGCTCTAAAAATAGAAAGTCTGGATAAGAATGTCTGTGAAGCCCCCAGCGAGTGCTCCGGAAATTGCAGTGGCCTTTAGCCCTGAGATCCCAGTAGCGCCTGGGCCTCATGCAGCAGCGGCCTCCCAGCGGGCTCTTTGCCGGGCTGTAACCGCCGCCCCCGCCTTCTCTCAGCACCCCGATCATTACGGCACAGCTGGATAAGGACGACGACGCGGACTACGCTCGCCTCGTGAAGGGCAGAATTGAGAAGACCCTCCTGGGAGAGGTAAGATGTCCGTCTTGGTGATGAGAGCTCTAGAGCAGCAGTGTGGCGAGCCCGCGCCTAAGCCCCAGCTGTGCTGGGCCTGCTGGCTGTGCGGCCACGCTGTCCTGTGTCCCCCAAAATGAGCAGTGCTACACGGTGGCTGTGTAACGTTCTGGTCTGCTGACACGACAGATTTCCGAGTATATTGAAGAAGTGTTTCTTCCGGATGACTGCTTTATCCTCGTCAAGCTCTCCCTGGAACGGATCAGACTTCTGAGACTGGAAGTAAGTCCCGTCATTAAATGTGGGCAGGAGGTCATCCTCTGTGAGTCCCAAGATGGGCGCCGATAGCCTGGGGCAGGAGCTAGTAAGCCAGGCACGAGAAGCAGAGGAGGCTTTGTTGGGTTTCTGTTCTGTGAGGGTCTCTACTGTACCTTCCCATTCTCTCTCTCTGAACCTGACACAACGTTCCCCTCTAAAGACACACAGGAAATTTGTTGAAACTGTGTGAGGCCACGATGGCCGGTTGCTGTGACACAGTATTAGAGGGTCTGGCAGGAGCGTGGGGCCACCTGTGTCTTACTCACCTGTGGGCCCCAGCTCAACACCTGGCTGGCTCGGCGAATGTTTTTGTCTGGGTGGACTAGTCTGGGTTGTTATTACTGGTGTTCACAGACAGGTAAGGAGTGAGAGATTGCAGCCTTTCTCACAGAGCAGCTGAGGCACAGGTGCAAACTGAGTAACTTTCTGGCACCTTCCTCTTCCTCTCAGGCAGTTAACACCCATCCTGGCCACATTGTGTCTCAGCCCGCTCTCTCAAGTACCAAGTCCGTGTTGCCCATAGACTGTCATTCCAGAACTGAGCAGCCAGGTCTCCAGGCTGGGGGCTTCTCTAGCCTAGCTCTGGCCGCCTGCCTTATGGCTCTTGTACCAGAAGGACTGGGTTGCATCAAGGCCTGTGGCCCGTGAGCAGTTGTGGTGAGGTCAGGTAAAGGGGAGGCTTCACTGACACACAGATTGTCCTGCTCTCCAGGCCCCCGCCTCCTGGAACCACCTCGAAGCCTGTGTGTGTTGTTGTGAATGGAGCATGCATTTTCAGTGGGGTCAGAAGTTGGTTGGGGGTGAGGGGAGGTTGTGAAGAAAGTCTCCTCTGTTTATAAGTAAAGTAGATATACTTATGCGGTACATAAGCAAATACACAGTATGTCTCATGTTAAAATTTTACGTGGTGAGGAATGAGATTAAGGGAAAAAATGAGGCTTGTCAGGGGGCAGTGATGGAAAAAGGCCAAGAAACACTGGAATCGAAGCCTCCATCCCTGTCAGTAATGTCCTGGGTGCGTGGCCCGTGTCTGGCCACCTTGCAGGTGAACGCTGAGACGGTGCGCTATTCCATCTGCATGTCCAAGCTCCGCGTGAAGCCTGGCGATGTGGCCGTTCACGGCGAGGCTGTGGTGTGTGTCACCCCCAGAGAGAACAGCAAGAGCTCCATGTACTATGTGCTGCAGTTCCTGAAAGAGGATCTCCCCAAGGTGAGACAAAAGTCCCCTCTTGGGGCCCCCACCCAGCCTAATGCCTGGAGATTTGTAGAGGGAGAGACCACGTTTACGTCTACCCCGAATACCCAGGTGTCAGGCAGCCTAAGGACTGTGTCACTACAGAGACTGAGGAGGGTGTCCGTTTCTTCTTTTTTGCCACATCCTTCTGGAATCAGGTTTTTCTCATCTCTGCCCTGCCACACCAACTCTGCCTGTTAGATTCCTGTCTGTTCTCTGGTAAAACTGATGTAGACTATGGTACGGCCCCCTGACCTTGTGCTTTCTCCCTAACCCCAACAGCACAGGGGCACTTTTAGGTTTGGTATGTTCCCGATAAATCCCGCTGAGAAACGGGGCTGGTCAAGGTGACAACCCAGGCATGACGTTCCCAGTTCTCACAGCCTGTGTGGTTTCTGAGGCTACCGGGGTGGGGGTGGGGTTGCCGTAGGCACCGCCGGGCCTTGAGCCTTCTGTGTCTCTTGAGTCCAGGTTGTGGTGCAGGGCATCCCGGAGGTTTCCAGAGCTGTCATCCACATCGACGAGCAGAGCGGAAAGGAGAAGTACAAGCTTCTGGTGGAGGGTGATAACCTGCGGGCGGTCATGGCCACCCACGGTGTGAAGGGCACCCGCACCACCTCCAATAACACCTATGAGGTACCGTTCACACCCAGGGTCACCTTACGGTTGTCCCGGCACACTTCTCTGACACTGCCGTTTGCTGTGGGTCTACACGAGAGATTGCCCAGCAGCCCGTGTCTGGCGGAGGGCCCAGAGTGTGCCGGGAAGCTGCCAGGCAGAGGAGGACGTGGGGAGGACTTGGGCCAGCAGGCTGGAAGAGGCTGCTTCCACTCATCCTGGCTCTCTGTAGGTGGAGAAAACTCTGGGCATCGAAGCTGCCCGGACAACGATCATCAATGAAATCCAGTACACGATGGTCAACCACGGCATGAGCATCGACAGGAGGCACGTGATGCTGCTCTCTGACCTGATGACCTACAAGGTTCGAGGGTAGGGCGCCGTGCGCTGGGCTGTCTCGCAGCTGCCTGGAGAACACCCAGCTATAACAACCGCCACGGAAAGAAAATAGGATGTCACCATTGCTCAAAGACCAAGCATGGGGTTGGGCTGGGTGTTGTGGTAAAACTCCAGTATGAAACTTGCAACCTCATGGCAGGAGGTGGGGGCGTTATTATTTTTGTCCTTATTAGAAATGTTATCCTAGAGCAAAACCGGCCATTGCCAAAAGCCCAGGGATTTCCATGGAAAACCGAGGTGTTTATTTCCTTTTCAACCCATTCCTCATTTCTGTAGCCATTTCCAGGTAAAGGATAAGTTACCGTGATTTGAAGGGGAGGCTAGGTGCGAAATGAGGTTGGTCGTTTTCTTTCTCTTTTCGCACAAAACCTATCCATTCCCTGTAGTGGTACGCATGCACCGTAGCAGTGCCCTAAGGTTTTCCCGGTGCCTCCCCGTAGGAAGCTGTCCCTGATGACAGAGCGGTCAGAACTGGGTGGGGAAATGACCTGTTTCCTCCGCCCCTCAGGAGAGGCTGTCACTTTTAAGTCTTGCCTCCTGGTCTTAGTCTCTCTGCACGTATCATGTTACACAGTTGCAGTGAGTAGTGGACATGCAGGTTTTATCCTGTTTCATTTAACTTTATGAGTATTTTCCATGTCGCATAGTTTTTATAAATATACTTTTTTAATGATGGTGCGGTGTGTGCTTGAATGAAAGCACCTAAATTTACTTAACTCTTTCCCTACTGTGAGGCTTTTAAATTATTTGAGTTTGGAATTCTTTGAGCCATAATGAACATCTTCAGAAGTACTCTGTCTTTTAAAAGTTAGGTTTTTAATTCTAGCTCTCAGTTCGTGACTCTTTCTTCCAACAGCATGTGGTTGGGAATGGAAGGATCCATGTTGTCAGTGACTGGTAGCCCCAGGGGGACGCCAGTGGGACAGATCGCTGTTAGGGTCCTGGCCGGACCCGAGACTGGCTTGAACAGCTGCTTGGCCGATTTGGGCTGACTCTGTTGAGGGGAGGCAGGGGGTGTGGTTTGCTCTGGGCTTCTGTAAGTGGTGTGAGTGCCACCCTGACTCCTCCTCCCCCGCTGCAGGGTGAAGTCCTGGGCATCACGAGGTTTGGCCTGGCCAAGATGAAGGAGAGTGTGCTGATGCTGGCCTCCTTTGAGAAAACAGCTGACCATCTCTTCGACGCGGCCTACTTTGGGCAGAAGGACTCCGTGTGTGGTAGGTTTGGTGTTTCTAGGACCTTCACCAGTGGGCCTTAGTGGTTTGTAGCTGAGACCGTGACTAGGGCTTCCCAGGAGGTGAGGAAACTGAAGTAGAATAAAGTCACAGATCACAGAATTGGAAATGATCGATCTTTGATCTCCAAAGCCTGGCTGTGGCCCCCTGCATTCCCCCCTCATCTGTTAGAAGGCTTCTCTGTCAGTACAGACAGCTTCTTGGGGCCAAGAAGAAAAGATGAACCCTGGGCATCAAGGAATTTTTCTAGACCTTGGAGATGCAGTCGGCCAGTCTGATCCTGCCCCCGCTGGGTGGGTGGTGCCAGGGCTGACAGGAGGGAGCAGCGTCCAGTGGCCCTGCTGTCCTGACCCCTGGGGAAGGATTGCTGCCGGGCCCAGCACCTTGTATGCACTGACCGCAGCACATCTGTAAGGGACAGGTGTTAAACCCTCGCACAGGTAGAACAGGGAACAGCTTGCTGGCTGACGAGTCTCGCCCACCGGCCACCTCCCCACACCACACAGCGCATCTCTTGATGGCGGCCTGGGAGAGAAGAGCTGTGGCGGGGCCGTCACAACAGGGCCCGCGGCCCGGCTGGCTCTTCCCTGGCTCCCGCACCGAGTGCCCGCGGTCCTCTGTCCTTTCTCATGCAAGACCCTACAGGCCCGAGGTGGCAGTCTGCAGGGGGCTCGGTAGCCAGGCCAAGGTCATATACACATCTGGCCCAAGCACAGATTCCCAGCCTGGCCGCCGTCCCCACCACCAGAGCTCTGCTTCCTAGCGGCCATTTCCTGTCTCGTCTCCCAGTCTTACGTGGATTTGCCAAACGTGCTGGTCAGGTGGGGCCCCGGTCAGGGCACATGCCTCTGCTCTGTTCCTAGAATTGACTTTTTCTCTTTGCAAAAGGGACACAGGTTGCAGATAGAGGAAAAGAGAAATTACTACATCATTTTTAAGATGATGAAGGGTCAGAGGAAAGAAAAAGGGAGCAGAGATTGGGACAGGAGAACAGGACACGGCCAAGGCAAAAGTAAGAGTGAGTGTGCTTGATAGTGGAACTAACGTCCAGCACCTGCAGCCCTGCCACCGGGATGCTGGGCCCTGCAGCCCCACACGCTGCCGCCTCTGTCCACCACTGACCTCCTCGGGGCCTGCATGGTTACCCCGCCCCCGCTGCGAAATCTTCCCCTTCCTCGTCCTTTACAGTGTTGTTAACTCAGTGTCAGCCCTCAGTCCGTGTTGGTCTTTAGCTTGGTGGTTTGTCTCTCTGGTCTCCTGATAGGACAAAGCCCGGAATATGGTAGGCAAGCACTCGCTTGTTATGGAACCAGAAGTCTGATCCAAAGCTGGAGTGGAGTTCGGAGAAAGAATCTGCTCCGTTGCCTTCTTCCTGTCTCTGCAGGGGCCTTGCCTTCCATGTGTCTCCCATTAGGGCTGTGGGTTTCCAAGGCACAGGCGTACTGTTAAGCCTGACCCAGCCTTGACTCCTGAGCATAGGGAACCAGTTTCTACTGCTGTTTCCAAGGGCACTGGTCTCTAACGTCAGCCAGTTTGCTTTTCTTCCAGGGCCCCAGTTGAGGAAACACTGGGTGGCAAAGTCGGGTTCCCCGGGCATCATTCAGTGTCCCTGCTGGCTGCATTTAGTGCTCTGGAAGGCGGGCCTGCGGGGCAGCTGTGGCTCACTGCAAGGAGAGCTGCAGGACGGGGAGCCCACCGTGTTGAAAAGCCGTCTGATGCCCTGTCTGGTTGGTTTCAGGGGTGTCTGAATGCATCATCATGGGGATCCCCATGAACATTGGAACTGGACTCTTCAAGCTGCTGCACAAGGCCGACAGGGACCCAAGCCCTCCCAGGAGACCCCTGATCTTCGACACGAACGAATTCCACATCCCCCTTGTCACATAGTCCAGGGAGGAGGGGACCATTCCTGACCTCAGCTCCTTGTCCCATCTGGAAAGAGGTCGAGACTGGCAGCTGACCCAGAGAGCTAGTGCTCCCTGGGACAGGCCTTGATATCCCCACCGTGCCGTCACGCCGAGAAGGCCTCCATGTCCCCGGGAGCAGCTCGCCCGGGACCCTGATCACACCACAGTGCCTGGTCGGGAGAACTGAGGTTTGTCTGTTTGAAGCCCTAGCCTCACCAGGAGGACCCGGTCAGGCGTCTTTGCTCATTCTCACCTCACCCTTCCAACCACTGGCTTTCAGGAGTGTCACACCATGACCCAGAGCCAGCTGTAAGCCCCAAGACCAAGGCCTGTTCCTGGTTTTTCTGTTCCTCAGTCATGCTCGAATCTCTTCATGTGGCCTACTCATGTAAATATTATCACTGTTATTTATTTGTTCAGTTTGAAGAACTTGGAGTTGTTATTATTTTGGCTTTACTTTTGAAATTTGAAACCAAGAGGCTATAGAAACCAAGAAAGCCAGCATTGCAGTGTCACCGGAAAAAACTGGTTAAGCAGATGGGACCGCCTAGGATTTGTAACTAAGCTAAAACCGTCATGAGGCCCAAGCTGCTCTGAAACATCTTTTACAGACACCTCTGACCACCCCACTGTTTTTGTCTACCTCTGACCTCCATGGGGGGAGCCTGCCGTGTGACAAGAGCAGGACCCATTGCTCACGGCCGATAGAAGCCTTGCCAGAGTTCGGAGCCCGCGGCGGTGGGGACGGTCAGTGTGCGTGGAGGTGATGGGTGAGGCTGGTCCAGGCCCCTGCACTGCCTGGGTGGTGACCACACCCCCCGAGGTATCCATGTGGCTGCCCTGCCTCCACATCCACGGAGCAAGCAGGGCAGGTGCAGAGCTACGGCCTAAAAAGTGCCCTGGGGGCAGAGGTGGGGTAGGGCCTTTCTGGGTAGAGGCAGGGGTGGAAGGGCCACTCAGACAGGAAGGGAGGAGGCCCACGTGGGGGTGGAGAGGGAACAGAGGTGGCGGCATGCCCATTGGGCAGTAGCAGGCGACTGGAAGAGTAGATCGGTAATGATCGAAAGCACCTGTCAGGCCGGCAGGAGACCAGCAGGGTGTCCCAGGAAGACCCCACAAGGCTTGTGATGGGGGTTTGTGCAACAGAGGAAAGAAATGTACACAGCTTATCTTAGCAGAAGGGTTTCGCTGCCAGAGACCGTGATTCTTGGTACTGGATTTGCTCCGTAAGATTGGGCCAGGATCACGGATAAGAAATGGTATGGCTGCCACTCTCTACTCCCTCTGGAGAATGTTCCGTGAAGCCTGCCCTGCCCTTCCCTATCCGGAGCCAAGTCCCACTGCTCTGGCTCTTCCTTCCTCGCCAGGGGGCCTTGGAAAACCAAGGCTGCTTAGTTGGGAATGAGATGATCGTGAAAGTGCAGCTTTGACCCTACCTTCTGGCTCCAGGCATCTGGGAAGCTCTACTTCTGAAGCGACATCGCTAATTTCTCTCATATCCAGCCCTTGCAAGAAAACAGCCGCCCAAACTGAAGAGATGTGAGTTTGTTGTTGAGGGAGAAGATGGTTTGGCTGATTAAAGAGGTGGGTGTGGAGGGGGAAAAAAAAAGGTAGACCAGGCACTTACAGAGTTCAAGTTGTAGTGCAAAAAATCACATTTTGCTTCTTGGGACATTCTCTAGCTGATTTCCGAAGTTCTGAGTTAATGCTGCTAAGATACTTCATGTAACCATCTGCTGTGGGGTCTGTGTTAGAATGAATGCTTTCTCTCCCATCCTGATGGGATTCCTGAATTCAGAATTCTTGACCTGAACCTTTGGCCATTCTCTGGTTTAAAATTCTGTTAAAATTAATTTGCACCTGGGGTCTCCCTGCACCCATGAGGTTGATTCAGGAAGTTCTCTTAAGGTGAAAAAGTGTCATTTTTCATGTTCCATATCCCCCCCCATGCCCACCCCTGTATCTCTGAACTGAGCTAGCCTGGTTCGCAACACAGATTAAGCCTGTTACAGGGGTGCCACCTGAAACCTCACCACGGGCCTCGCTTCCCTCGTACAACCTGCGAAGAGCCACAGTACCACAGCTGCCTTCCTGAAAACCTGCCTGGGGAATAAGCCTCGGGCCTGCTCAGATCCAGAACTATGAGAAGGCACACGAGGGCCGTGGGAGGAAGGACTCCCAGAGTGGGAGGGAGCACCGACGCCCGCCTTCCTCTGTGTGCCGCGTACCTGAACTGGGGAGGGGAGCCGGTGTGCGCCACTGTGAGTAATAAAGACGGCCCCACCGGGAGCCTCATCCTGCTTGAGCAAGGCCTCTGGGTGCCGACAAGCCCGGGTGAGAGGTGTGTGATCGTGCTGCACGCAGGCAGGGGGCGGGGGTCGATCAGCGTATGGCATTGTGGGGACGGAAGGGTTACGTGAAGCAGTGCACCCCCCAGTCCGAGACCATGTGTCCTGCGGGCGAGTGTCCTCGTAGCCCTGCAGCCCTGCCGGGACCCCAGGCAGAGGCGGCGTTGCCTGGCGAGCCCTGCTCTGTGCTCCCTGCCTTGTGTGTGCCGTAGGTGGGTGTGCAAATGGGATGGGATGATCTGCTGCCCTGGTGCTGGGCTTTATGCAAGCACAGAACTCAGACACCAGATCCAGAGAGCAATGTCTTCTCAAGAGTAAGCTCCATAGAAGGTTGGGATTTTACTCTGGCCCTGTTGAGGAAGAAATAAGAAAAATACATTTTAACGGTCTCATCCATTAACAAATTCATATTTATTCTGACTAGTCATCTGTCCAGTCCTTTGCCCTTTTTATGTCTTTTGTACAAGGGGATTAAAATAGCGATTGACTCAGTGACAGCCCCCTGCTTGTTCAGCGCTTTGGGGGTGGGAGAGACATTCTGGAGTCTCCCAGTGTCTGTGTCGGAGTCAAATCATGGTGCTGTGTCTCTGTTTCAGGGTTTATCCATGTGTATTCACATTGATTCATGTCTGACTGACACCATATGATGATTATTTTTCTTGAATTTTGGCTGCCTCTAGACAGAACTCTACTTTTTTAGGAAAACTGAAATAATGAAAACTTACTCTACATATAACGGTAGCAGTTCATCCCTGTGGGTTGTGAAAAAGGGTGACTGGGATACGAATGGGCTCCAACTCCTACAATAATTAATGTCCCCTGCCACAAGCCCACCCCTCGGGTGCTGGAGGTCAGCAGTGAGCTCTGCGCCCCTCCCCGCCCCTGTCGTGTGGCTAATTCAAGCCCAGTGGGACACAATGCAGTATCTCCTGGAAGTACCACCTAGCTGGGATCAAGTGCCTCGCCTAACTGTTCAGAAGTTCGTTCAGCAAATAAAGGCCTACTATGTTCTAGGTACTAAAAGAGCAGCAGTAAATAAAACTGGTAAATCAGATACCAGTGCATCTCAAAACAAGTCTTCAGCAGAAGGGACAGAGCCAAGAGGTGGTAGATCAAGCCTGCAAATATGTGTCCAGCACTGTCTAGGGTCCCAACTACAGAACTGAGGGTCTTGGGGGGTCTGGCACCTCCAGCTCACTGGAACAAAGAGAACGGTCTCTCGGCCAGCACAGCCCCTGGTTCCAGCCCCTCTGCAGTGCCCTTCACACCGCTGATTGGCCTCCGTCCCTTGGACTGGGGTTCTAGAGGGTGGGCCCTGAGCAGAGGACACAAGGCTGCAGTCACCGGGAAAGAAGGCTCCCATACTTACCCCATGTTCCATGTACAGTGTTCATAAGCAGACATTTAAGTCCATGAAGGTTTGCTAAGCTTCTGCTCTGTGCCAGGTGGTGTGCGGGCCTCAGAGAAAATCCCTGCATGCATGGGGCTTACCATCTGGTCAGGGTCAGCTTGTGGTTAAGAGCCTGGTTTCTATGAACAGACTATCAGAATGCAAATCCCAATTTCCGCTTTCTTTCTGGTGACCTTAAACTAATGATTTAACCTCTCTGCCTCATTTATAAGGTAGGAATGCTATTTAGTGGTACCTGACTCCTAGGGTCATTGTGAAGTTTCAGTGTGATTTTGCATATAAGATCCAAGTACGGTGTCTGGCACAAAGGACACACTCACTAAGTGTGTTTGCAGTTATGGTGACCATCAGTACTTTTACTAGAAAACATGGTCTGAGAATTCAGTACCAAAACCCAAACTCGGGGCACCTGGGTGGCCCAGTTGTTAGGCATCTGCCTTTGGTTCAGGTCATGATCCCAGCATCCTTGGGTCGAGCCCCATATCGGGCTCCCTGCTCGGCGGGAAGCCTGCTTCTCCTTCTCCCACTCCCCCTTCTTGTGTTCCCTCTCTCACTGTCTCTCTGTCAAATAAATAAAATCTTAAAAAGAAAAAAAAAAAAACACCAAACTCTGGATCCTTTTTTTTTAAGAGCACCTGCAAGCCTGTTCATAGTGGGGGGAGGGGCAGAGGGAGAGAGAATCTTAGGCAGGCTCCACAGTCAGCATGGACCAGGGCTCGATCTCACAACCCTGAGATCATGACCTAAGCCGAAATCAAGAGTCAGCCACTTAACTGACTGAGCCACTCAAGCGCCCATAACCCTGACCCTTTTAAGTCACCCAGATGGAGCTTTCCTTTGTGGCCTTGGGGATCCAGCCTCTCGATTCACAGCTTCTGCCCCACAGTCTGTTTGATCATTGGATCCGGGAAGTATTTCATGCCAGGGAGAAAAAGCTAGGGAAGGGGACTGACATTTGGCAGTCACGTGGCTGAGGGCTTGAACATTTTAATTGGGGCCATAAAGTAAATGTGACTTCATTGTAAGAGTTGTGGGCAGTAGCTCAGAGTTTTTGTAGAGGTGGATATGGATGTATTTATATAGATTTATTGTATAACAGGATATCCCAGGAGTTGGGACATTTTTCTCTTTAAAAAAGAGGTTACCATTTAAAAGTCTTCCACACACTGGCAATAATGGTTGCCTCTGGCAATAGAAACAGTGACTGAAGGACAGAGGTGTTTTTCACACTATGTTCTGTTGTGCCTTTCTAATTTCGTTCCTGCTGAAGGTATTGCCAATAAATGATGGTAAAGAAATCAAGTCATCTTGAAGCAGGCTTCGTTCTTGGCGAGTGCTCAAGTGCTCCGTTCCGAGAGGAGTGGAGTGGTCTCTTCCAGTTACACAGAGCCAGGAAGCGCCAGAGATGCAGGGAGGACATTGTTCCTGGGGTAAGGTGACCACAAAATCTCTCGTGGCCACGGCCTTACAGCTCCAAGATTCTCTCTTCTGACGTAAGACCGTAGTGGGCATCACAGGGCTGAAATGGCACTTTAACTGAGCTGTCGGACCCAGGCCCTGCCAAGCCCCCCTCCACCAGCTCTAGGTTCCGGCACTGTCCTCACCCTCATGGTGCAGGGCCGCCGCTCCATTTCCCAGCATGCTAGCCAGAAGACAAGGA